GACATCACCAGGTTCCTATTGGAAGACAATATTGCAATTGTCACAGAATAACTAAAGCGGTCTTTTAAATCCATCCAAATATGCAACCTAATAACAATATTTTGCAATCATATTCCATGACCAAAATCAGAAAATCCAATGATCTCCAATTGGTATGATTTTCTTGAATGTGACCATTCAATTCTTAGTTCTCTATAAAATACTGAATAACCTAATGGGCGAATTTCCAAATTTTCATCACATAGTTAATTAAATATCTGCCTAACATTCCAACAATGAATGCTATATCCAAATGTGTGCAAATTTAAGCATACATTAAACTCCAACTGTTGAAGCATATAGAATTTTCTGTATTTCATTTTCTTTAAATTCATCCTTAGAACATTGATTGAGATTAAAATTGTCTCCGGGTAGCACTTGATTTTCATTCCTGCACCCCACACATATTTTTTAAGAACCTTATGGATGCTCGTTTTTGTGCTAATCCAAAAATACACCGAGAACGATCCATATGTATCTATATCCTTAGTATAAAAGAAGTTTCACCAAGATTTTTCATTTCAAAATTTCATGACAGAAATCTCTTGATTTCGTGCAATAAACTTATATTATTGCAGGTAAACAATATGTTATCGACATACAATATCAAAAAATATGCTTAAACCCATAGATGGATTTCTTTAATTGTATACCACCTAACATAATGTCATAATAGTCCTAAAAGAGTCTTTTAAAGAAATCGGAGAAAAAAATCTCTTTAATGCCAATGCATTCCTTTTGAGTAAAATCATTTGCAACAAGACAAGCCTCATATAATTTCACATCACCCTTTGAATCCTTCTTGATTAAATATCCAGTTACAATGAATAGGCTTCGCACTTTCAGGCAATGGGATAAGTTCTCAAACGTTATTATTACTTATGAACTTTATCTCTTTATGCATGATATCAATTTACTCTTTATAATTATGTCTTTGCATAATTTGATGAAAGTTGATTGATCAATTCTCCTTCTATCAATCAACTTCATCTTTATTTTCTTAGAAAAAGACTATAAAGTCATCCGAAATTGTCTTTCTCCTTTTTATAGTAGATTTTCTTAATGACGTTTGTTTTTAAGGTTGTTGAGTTTGATTTTGTAATATTATTTTGATTCGAAATTACTTCTTGAATAAGATCTAGAGTAAGAATTCGTCCCCAGTCCCGATCATTGTCAATTGCAACAGAAAATATGTATANTTAGACATTTCTCGTTTCGAAAATTGACCTAATAGTGAGATTTTTTTTAAAAAAATTGTAACCTCTTAACAATTACTTTACTTGGAACTTTGTTGATAATTTAAGCTACGGGTTTTAGTGCTTATACATATAGAGATTCTGATGTACGGTGGGACGACTCCATATTCCTCGAGGAATTTAGCAAAAGGTCCTAGACGTTGTTTTCCTGATCCGTCATATCTGTTATAGTACTCACCACTATGGTAAGATCTAACTTGTTAAATTCTTTTACAGAATTGTTTTTTAACCTCAGCCTTTTATGCTTTGAACATGTCCAGTGTTTGAGATTTCTCATAGATGAGATATAGGTAGTCATAGTAAGAAAAATTCGTCTATGAACATACTAAATTACCATTGACCATTTCAAGAATACTAAGTGAATGACCCACACATATCTTCACGAATTAGTTCTAAGACGTCTGAAATTCTATTGACACCTAATGTGAATTTGTTTGTTTTCCCTTAATGTAATTAACACAAACACTTAAATTTGAAAAATTAAGGGAATCAATAATTCCTTTTGACACAAGATTTTCCATTATCTTTTGAGAGATGTTACCTAATCCCTTGTGCCATAACGAAGCAAAATTATCATTCGTTACTTTATATTTAATACCATGTAAATTCACAAGCAATGTCTCTGTATAAGAGGTAACCATATTAAGAAGATATATGTTATCGTAAGCGGATAAAGAACTGATACTCACAATATTTGAATTAAGAAATAAAATCAAGCTGACTATTTCCAATTGAATAAGAGTAACATAATTTGTCCAATGTAGAAATAGAAACCAAATTTCGTCTAAAAAGATGATATCGCAAATGTCATTTTTAAATTCAAATAATAACCAGTCTTTAATGATAACCTAAGGTCCCTATAGCCACAACTTCGACTAATTTGCCATCGCCCCACATAGATGAATCTTTCAGCATCAATTGTCTTTTGGCTATTCATGCAACCCCGCATAGATACACTTATGTGAGTAGTGGTGCTAGAATTTATCCACCAAATGTGTTTTTGTATTGAAACTAAATTAACATAAAAACAAATTAAAGTGAGAATTGTACTTTTCTTTACACGCTAAGCGTGTTATTTAGTACAATCTCTTTTTACGTGTTCTAGATTTTCACAAAAGAAATAGCCAGATGATTAATTATTTTCAGGCTTTTACTATTCCTTTGAACTGAACCAAATGCAGCTTCCTTATCCTTTAGCTACCATTACAGGTATTTGCCAAGTAAGTACTTCTAGTTCTCTCTTGCTTTAGACTTTCTTTTTCTTGCACACAATATGAAATGAGCTCACCAAGAGTCAACTTCCCCTTTTGAAAGTTGGAACTGTCCTCAAATTAACTAAATTATGCAAGAATAGAAATCAAAAACAAATGCACGAGCAAATCATCAGGCAACTTAAACTTTAATGTCTTTGATTTTGAAGCAAGAAGAGACATTTCCATGATATATTCCCATATATTTTCTTTCGCATTATACTTTAGTGAAATCAAATTCGTCAGAAGCATACTAGTTTCGGCCTTATCACCTCTTGGAAACCTTTTTTTTTTTTCAATTTCTTTAATAAATTCTTTAGCATTAGTTACATTATCGGACACAACGTTTCACATTTCATTGTCATAAGACTTGTGTGATTTGAATGATTCCACTTATTCGAGTCCCATTTTTATTAGCGAAACTTTTATCCGTAAGTGTAGTTGGTAATTCACTCTTAAATGCAAGGTCTAGATTCATGCCGCCGAACTATACAAACATTCTCTTTCCAGCCCTTAAACTTTGGTTCAAGCATAAGAATTAAAATGATGTTGACATATATTGCAGAAGTTGATAGATTAACAGAGTAGATAACTTAAACCTAACTCATATGTTCACATGGAAATCCATATTGGTCAACTAATAATTCAAATAATGGTGAACCCCATCACAAGAGACCGAACACAAAATTGACATTTAGTCTTTGAACATAAATATCAACGTGTAAGTGATACTCTGGTGTAGTAATCAAATATTGATAATAAATCTGGTCAAACATCAAGTCTATCTTTGAACCGACTCAATGTTCACATAATAGAAATCTTTACAATTGTCACATATTTATTATTACATGTGTGCAAATAATTCGACCAAATATTGACATTTCTTTGGACCGGTGAATATTGCATGACTTACGTACACACAATTTTCCTAATATTCCAAATAAATTAATTTAGTCAAAAGATGTTGCTTTGGTAACATGTTGTTTCAATTAATTTATTTTAGAAAATTAGTAATCCTAAATAAATTTTAGTTCCATGATTTGAAATTTGATTGCCTCCTTTATATTGTATTTATGTTTTTTTGTGTAGATTCTTCATCCATAATTAACATAACCTTTTTTCTCATAAAGCAATCAATTATAATTATACTCAAATTCAACAATTAAGTCCTAAAAATTGTTAAATTTGAAAATACACAAAATTTTGATATCAAAGGTTTGAAATTCACATCCGAAAATTTAGAAATCCGAAGTATGAATTTCAACCCTAAAATTCTTTAAAAAATTCTGAATTGCGAAATTCATGGCTAAAATTCACATTTCAAACCAAAAGATCTCAAAATTTAATGTATGAATTTCAACAATAAATTTCTTCCTTAAATCTTAATGGTTTAACACGGAGTTGGCTCTGATACTACTTGTTGTAACTTTATGAAACTTTACAAAACTAGAAAAATGTAATTGATTAATTGTCAAGATCCTCCATGTCAAATCACCAAGAAAATTAATAATGCAGAACATACTTTAATTCTTTGGGAATGATATCTTGAATCTTGATTATTGGCTTTTTTGGTTCTTGAGTTCTTGATCTTGATTTTGACTTCTTATTCCATAATCTTGATTGTCTTGTTTTTCAATTTTATTGCTCCATTTATTCTTCTTGATTCTTGACTATAATTCTTGATTCGTGATTGTGAATTTTGGATCTTCCTCTTCAATATGCTTTTTCTTGTATTGATGAGATGACAAAAAAAATAATCACATATGAATAGGGGACCATAACCCTATTTATAGTTTTCATTTGTATTTGGCCTATTATCAAATGCCACCCTAATGAATCTAATCTTTACACATAATTCGGCACACACTTTATTTAGATACCCTAAGTCCAACAATTTAATTCTTTATTAGATCACTTTAATTAGTCTCAACTTTAAGATAGTCTTATACACAATTAATTATATATGTAGGCCACATATGACAAATTAATAAATGCAATATTGAAAGGTCCGAACGATCAACTCCCCAATCAGTTGTTAAAATTAATAGTTCTTCAAAAATATGAAATTATGACTTATTTTAATGACCAACCAACCAACAAACAATGTTACTTTTCCACATATATGGAAAAAACACATTAATAGATACAGCTCTCATCGAGTTCTCGATAAACACCAAGATTTTTCTCGATAAACACATTAATATAAATTTAGCAAAAAGTTAATTATTGATTAAAAGTGTTTTTAAGATATGTATATGACGTGTCGATCAAGAGAAGGTGGAATTTGTACGTATTAAATCTTCGTATTTATCCAACTAAAAGCTGGACCTACTCCACTCTAACAATAGGCTCAATATGTTGCTAGATTTGTCCATAAATAGAGATGAAACACTCTAACCATTCTCATCAAAAACATAAATCAAGTTTCTTTTTTCTTAACAATCAGTTATTGCAAATGGGTTCCAAGACAATTCTTCTACTTGGCCTTCTGGCTATGGTTCTTCTGATTGCATCAGAAGTGTCAGCCCGGGAATTGTCTCAGACTTCCACTGGTAAGTTTCTTCTTACATAAAAGTTTTCGTCGTTGAAAGTATAATTTCTTCTACATATTGCTTCCAGGACAATGTGCACATGTTATTAAATAAAATAAAACATGTATCGAAGAGTTTAAGAATTTCATTTTTTTTCCTATCGAAGTTTATAGACTGTGTGGTAACATTTTAAGTATTAATAGTTATTACCTATCTTGTACTTTTGCACCTAAAATTTGTTCAGATAAGGAGGCTGAGAAGACAAATGGGGTTGAAGAATCCAAGTATCTAGGAGGTGGATATGGAGTATACCCTGGCGGAGGTTTCCCCGGTGGTGGATATGGAGGATACCCTGGCGGAGGTTTCCCCGGTGGTGGATATGGAGGATACCCTGGTGGAGGTTACCCCGGTGGTGGATATGGAGGAAGGCGCTACTGCCGCTATGGCTGCTGTGGCCCGAGCTATTACCCTGGAAGGGGTTGCAGGTGCTGTAGATATGCTGGTAAGGCAGTGGATGCTGAACCTCACAACTAAAAGCTACCTAAGAAGTGCTGTGTTTTTTAACGTTGCAGTATCTTAAGTATGAATAAGAGGACGAGCGATGTACATCCATTTATTTTGGATGGTTTGTATCAGTTATGCCTCAGCTGTGTGGGTTAAATAATGCAATATTATGCTTTGTTTTGCATGGATTTGTATCACTGTTTCCCTACTAATCTTTTTTCTTCAAGAGTGTATTTGATTGACTTATTTTTCATGAAAAATGTCATTTTTCTACCAAACTTCCTACTTTTGAGTTATTTGATTGACATTTTTTTCCTAAAAAACAAAGAAAACATTTTCTTTAGGGAGAGGTACTAGTTTTTATTTTTGGTAATTCACCCTATTTCATCTACCCACCAATAAAAAATGAATTATTATAACATTTTCAAGTTTGAAAATTAAATCAATCAAATACATTTAATTAATAATTTTCATGTAAATAAGTTTTAAAAATATTGAATTGTCTAGAATTTATTTTTTTCTATACAAATTCCACCATTTCAATCAAATGCACACTAAAATAAATATACTAGTTTAGTTGTACAAAAATGGAAATGGATAACTACACGTAAAAGGACACAACATATAGAACTTTTATTTTCGAAAAAAAGTAAGACATGAAATGCTCCGGAAACATTATCTAAAAAATTAAAATTTATTTATAAATTAATATTTAGTTCTGGCAAAAAAAAAATAAAAATAAATTTAACATTAGTTAAACATGAGTCACTTCATAGTATTTTGTAGTATAATAGTTTAGCCTCCAATTATGTTAACTTTTAGTGGAATCCTCCAACAAAGCCTGAGTGTAATTCTTGATCATAATTAAATTAATTGATTTTTCCGTAAACAAATTGAAGAGTAAACACAAGTAATAGAAAGTTGGAATTGAAGTATAAGAAAAACAGACATTGAAAATATAATTAAAAATAAAATAAAAACTATATAAAAATTGAATTATACTGCTAAATATATGATGCGAGTACTAGGAGATTATAGATAATGTTGAAATATGATAATTTAGTGTGTCTCAGGTTCCTATTTATAGACGTAGAATTGATGGCACTCTCCAAGCATGTAGATTGCTCAAGATTGCCTAACTTGGCTTGTAAACTGGCTTTCAGGCGAGCCGACAAGCTTGTTAGCTGGCAAGGCTCTCGGTCAACTCGTGCGAGCTGCCAACTGAGTTCGTTTTACTTAACACCCATAGTCAAACAGCACAAGGCCTACGACTTTATTTCATTAATTAAGGTTTCTCCTAGAGAGTTTAAATGTCCACTGTTCCTCCTGTTCCTTCAAGCTCTCTTATCCAAACCTCTCGACAAAACCTCAACAATGCACGAATTACATAAAACAACCAGTATAGTCCCTGAAACAACAAAGCGGACAAACGGTCAATGAAAGAGAAACTTCGTATTAGGAATAAAATTTCACATTGAATAAAGATGAAAATAAAGACCAACTTATAAGGATTTGGATTACTCCTCTTAATAAGGTTAACCTTTTAAAATGGAACCAGAAGTCTTAATAAAGTATCCGAACTCATTATTTTTTAACGAGCAATTCGATCCGATTAAAACTCAAAAATGAGCATACGAATTTTAAGGTTAGTTTGCTCAAATGAGCTATCATCTTATAGAGGCATGTTAAGGGATAAAATTCCACATCAAATAAAGATGAAAATATAGATCAACTTATAAAAGATTGAGTTACTTTTCTTAAAAGTTGGAACATGTTGTTGAAAACCATTGCAAGGGTACTCAAGGAGGAGATCAAGCAAACATGGACCGGTTCTAGTTCAAGCAACCGAACCATCATCTGGGAATATGGTAAACAATTGTGTTGTTCCCTTCAACTCATGTGATGATATTAATCTTCCAATTGCCATTAGGAAAAAGAAGCGAAAGTGAAGACAAATTCTATTGCCCCATTTTGTATCATTTGAAAAATTCTCACCATCTCATGTAGCTTTTCTCACACCCCTAAATACCATACCCATTCCACAAACCTTGATAGAAATATTAGGTAACAAGGGATGGAAACAAGCCATGAAAGTTGAGATGGAAATATTGGTAAAGAATGGGGAGTTGTGTAGCTAGCTGCCAAAAGGAAAGAAAATTGTCAGTTGCAAAAATGAGTATTTACTATACATATAAAGCCAATGGATTTCTTAAATGATATATGGGGATGTTGATTGCAAAGGAATATACAAAAACTTAAATAGTGGACTATCAAGATACTTATGCAGTGGCGACAAAAATGAACATTGAAAGAGATCAACTCTCTTTGGCTGCTTATTTAACCAGAATTTGCAGCAATTTGATGTAAATAATGTCTTCCTTCATAGTGAGATTGATGAAGAAATGCACATGGAAGTTCCTCATGGCTTTGGCTTAAGTTTGGGAAAAAATAAAGTATGTAGATTAAAAAAAAGGTTTTATATGTTTTAAAACAATCTCGTAAGGCCTGGTTAGGCCATGTGATTTAGGAAAAGTTAGGGGAATCATACTTCATTTATAAGACATTTTAATTCAAGGAAGTTATGACTTTATTAGTATATGTTGGCGATATAATTGTAATTGAGAATGATATAAGAGAACAACTACTACTTTGCCAATGTCTGCAAAGGAGTTTGAAATAAAAAAGTTGGCAAGCTACAGTAACTTTTAGGAATTGAAGTTGCACGATCAAAAGAGAGATTTTTTATATTACAGATGTTGCAAAACAAACAAGATAACAGAATAGTTCTGATACCAATTGTTGTGAAATAAATCATCGCTAACTCTACGACTTCAATATACCGTTTATTATTATTTCATAAACTACAAACAAAAGAATAAAGAAGACAAGAATATGACAGAGGAATTAAGAGATTTTATTGACTCAAGAATAATGGAGAAAATTACAATGGATCCTATAATTCTAGTAATCTATATTCTCACATTATAAAATTGTATAGAATAGCCTAATATTTATAGGAAATAAGTAGGGGATATCCAAACCCTCAAAGTAGAGTTGTTGATGAAGTATGATACTATAAAATTGAGTCTAAAACAAATTCCAATTCCCAATGGGCTTCCAAAATAGAACTTCAACATGGCATAGGACTCCAATAATATTCCAAATTTGAATTCTTCATGACGTGCACTTCAATTAGAAATTTTCAATTATTTCAACAAGGAATTCGGGTCACACCCAAATTCTAACAATCTCCACCTTGACACAAATTCCACCAAAGAATGAACTGACTTTTTCAACAATAACCAAAAAATTAATTTCTCCAACCAAATACAAAATATTCCACCTCTTCCAATGAATCCAAGTACTACTCTGTAGAATTACCTCAGATTCCAAAAAATTATAATGATTTTATAATTTACCAAAATGGGCTGTAAGACACCCCAAACCAAAATCAATATCAAATGCTTTTACAGAAGGCTCCTTCCTAGATTGTACACCTTCTATTCCACTTAAAGCATGCTCAACAAAATTATCATCCACATACCTTTTTCCATTGGGTCCGTCTCTAGCAATTGAATACAATGGCGCCGTACGTGATAGTGGCAAAGCGGCATTGTTCATATCTCCTGAACTTTACTGAACTGTATTATTCAAATTCATCCCTTTATGAGCTCCTAAAGGTATTGTACCAAACTGAATGTCCACCACAGTGCTGAACTTGTGCTGATTGACTCTTCTAAATTCTGCACCACCTTGCAAGATGTATAACAGAGACATTTTCTGTCCCTCCAATACAACTTGGGTACCCTTACAAACCTTCAAAGCTCCACCTCCACCAAAGAGCTCATAACCTTTTGAATCAAGGATAGACAACGAGATGAGATTTTTCTTCAAATCTGAAACATGTCGAACTTGGCCAAGTGTTCTAATTGTTTCATCTAAAAGCTTCAATCTGACTGCCAATTCCAGCAACCCAACAAGATGCGTTGTTTTCCATAACCACAACACCTTTGAAAATAGTTTCATATGTAGCAAACAAGTTCTTATTAGGACACATATGAAAAACACACGTTGAATTAAGAATCCAATCATCTTCCGGTTTAGACTCAATGTCAGAAATAGCTAAGAGTTTTCCATAACTTACAACGTTCTCTACGAGGCCTGCTTTGCCTGAAGTATCTAAATATCTACTTGCAGTCATCATTTCTTTATTCTGTAATTTGTAGCAATCCTTCTTTAAGTGCCCCTTCTTCTTGCATTAGTTACAAATTTGATTACTGAACTTCAACTTCGATCTGCCCCTTCTAGAACCACCATGAGCAACCAGGCCCTCTCCATATCTAACCTCAGAAACCAGATACTTCATCTTCTCTTTTGAAAATAAAGCATCATAAACCTCCTCAATGGTGAGAGTATCACGACTATATAAGATCGTATCTCTAAATGAAGAAAGAAAAAGGGGCAACGAACACAATAGGATCAAGGCTAAATTTTCTTCATCAAACTTAACTTCCAATGTTTCCAAATCAACGAAGATCTACTTAAATACAGCCAGGTGATCTTCTAATGATCCTCATTCTACCATACGATGAAAGTATAACCGCTGTTTGAGATGCAATTTGCTTGTAAGACTCTTCATCATGCATAATTGCTTCAACTTCAACCATAAAGCAGCTGCTGACCTCTCATTCAAAATGTCCTGAAGAATGAAATTTGATAGATGAAGATGAATGTGAGAAACTGTCTTTTTATCCTTTCGTAATTTCTCTTTCGCGGTCAAAGTTGCTGGCATCCTGTCAATACCCAGCAACATATCATCCAAATCCTACTTTGCGAGTACTGCACGCATCTTAACCTGCCATAGTGAAAATATAGTACTTCGATCTAAAAGCGAAATTTCATACTTCATGGTAGCCATCATGAATAAAAAACTTCAAATAAATCAAAACTTGGGCTCTTACAAAACTGCTGAACTTGGCGCTCTGATGTCAATTGTTGCAAAACAAACAAGATACTAAAATAGTTCTGAT